GACTAGCTAAAAGCTGGCTGGATACCAGAGGTCTTGAAATGGCCCTGGAAAAGACCGAGGCACTGCTGGTCACAGACAGACGTGGTTATGAGCTCCCACGAATCGTGATAGACGGATTCGAGGTCAAGTGGAGTAAGCAAATTAAATATCTTGGTGTGGAGTTAGATGGAAGGTTAAACTTCCACCACCACATGGCTACGGCGTCAAATAAGGCGATCGAGTGTGCGGCTAATCTTTCACGGCTAATGCCAAATGTTGGCGGACCCCGTGAACAAAAAAGAAGACTGGTGGCGAGTGTCGCCCACGCTAAAATGCTCTATGCAGCACCAGCGTGGGCCCCATCCCTGAGGAGTAAAAGATGTGTGACCATCTGTGAAAAGATACTGTCTGCGCAGAGATCGATAACAACGCGTATCATCTCTGCATATAAGACGGTATCTACGAGTGCTGTGCAGGTCCTTGCAAGTGTCCCGCCAGCAGATCTTTTGGCGAGGGAAAGGGAAGAAATGTTTCTCTTTTCTAAAGAAAGCAGTTCCTTGAATGAGGAATTAAGACCAAGCAAGGGCCTGATCCGCAAAGAAGCGAGGCACAGGCTCATAGAAAGATGGCAAGAAAGATGGGATGGTGAGGAAAAAGGTCGATGGACTTATCGCCTTATCCCGGCACTCGCCACCTGGATAAATAGGAAACACGGTCAGGTTTCCTATTACTTGACTCAGGCGTTCACAGGTCACGGGTGTTTTAACTCGTACCTGTGTCGCTTTAAATTACGCGAGAACGAGGTGTGTGCATATTGCCAGTTCCCTGAGGACAACGCGGAGCACACCCTCTTCTCATGCAAGAAATGGGACTTGGAGAGGCGGGCCATGTTCGAAGGTGTAAACAGTCAAGTTACACCGGAGAACATGGTATCGCTGATGACCCAGTCAGAGGAGAATTGGCGGCAAGTCGAGAACTTCATAATCTCGGTTATGTCGAGGAAGGATCTCGACGGCCGCCAAAAAGCGTAATTTAAACAGCTTTTAATTTATTCGTTTGTTTTTTATTAATTTATTTTGTGATTTATTTGTCCTTATACAATTTTAATTTATTCCGTTTTATGTTTTTAATATTATATACGCGTTTATTATTATTATTTTTTTTTTTTTTTATCCGTTTGCAATTTTATCTTTTGACTGTTTACACTTGATTAAACATTTTTTTTTATTATTGTTGTGCTGTTAATTTTGCTTTTATATTGAAATAGTTTTAAATTTTTAACTATTAACGCAGGATAACCGCAGAGAAAAGCAGAAAGTCGCATTAGCGACAGAGTCGGAGCGCCACCCTCGAAGGCTAAAGTCTTACGACAGTTCCGAGGGAGGGTAAAGGGCTCCAAAAGAAAGGTTACGGGTTTTAGTGGGTCGGGCTGGTAGTAGGTCGCCAGTTTGTTAAATTTATTATAACATTTATTTATTTTTCTTTTTTTTTATATTTCTTTTGTTTTTTTATCATACCAACCCCACATAACCTTGGAGTGCGGAATCCAAGGTATCTGTAGGCAGATTTCCCAAAAGTCCCTAAGCAAAAAAAAAAAAAAAAGGTTATGTGGGGTTGGTATGATAAAAAAAACAAAAAGAAATATAAAAAAAAAGAAAAATAAATAAATCTTATAATAAATTTAACAAACTGGCGACCTACTACCAGCACGACCCACTAAAACCCGGGTAAGGCTTCCTGAAGTGTAACAGTAAAATTTCATATTTACTGTATTCAATTGACAACATATGAAATGTAAACGTCATTATGAGTTTATTAAACGGTTCAAAGGATTTTTTAAAAAAATTAAATTTCTCTGAGTTATAAACAATTGAAGTTTTTTACAGTGCTTAATTAAAAAATGCATATCTTGGAATATAATAAACGGATTTTAATGAAACTTATATTTTTGGAAACCTTAAATAGTGCACTTTCAATTAAAAAAATAAAAAAAAAATTTTGTTGAAAATTACTATTTGTTATTGAAAAATTAATTGTTTAATTGTAAAATAAACAATGTTCTCAACATTTTAGGAAGTTCGTTCAAATTACATTGCAAAGAGAATTTTATAACGATTCGATACCCGTTTTGAAATCTAATGACACTCAATTACGAAAAAAGTTATTGCATTTTTTCTACTGCGCGGTACGTCTCTCTACCGCGTGGCTGGTCAACCGCCACAGTGGTTCAGAATTACAATTTAGTGTTCATAATCACCTACAGCCTACAATTTTTGATGAAATTTGACTTTCTTTTTTTCTAAATCTTAAGCGATAAATTCGCCAGATCGCCATTGAGCCGGAATTTTGAATTTCATTTCATAATATAGTTTATTTAAACAATTAGGTAAAAAATTTAACCTACAATTGCAATATTTGTTGAATATTTTTGAAAAAAATCAAAAGTAAAGCTGGAAAGGCTCCGGGCCCAGATGGTATCGTTACTGAATTTTACAAAAATTTACCCTCCTCTTGGATTTCATTTGTTCATTCGTTTTTTAATAACATCGTAGAAATGAAACGAGTTCCTGAAGCCTGGTCACAATCTTTAATTACTTTAATCCATAAAAAATCAGATAGGGAAAATCCCCTCAATTATAGAGGTATTGCTCTATGTAACAATATTACAAAAATTTTTACGCAATTATTGACTACCAGACTCGCGAGATGGGCGGAAAGGAACTCGTTACTCCCAGAGACACGAAATGGATTTAGAACAGGAAGGAACTGTATTGATAACATCTATACCTTGCAGTCTGACCTTCACCTCAGACTGAGACAACCGGGTGCTTCTGCATTTGGCCTCTTTATTGACTTTCGTCGAGCCTTCGACTCTGTATCACATGGTTTATTGTGGCAAAAGCTTTATAGTATAGGCGTAAGCGCTAAATTTATTAAACTTATAAAAGCAATTTATGATCACGCCGATAGAGGTGACAGAGGGAGAATTGCAGGGTGACACGTTAAGCCCGATTTTGTTTATATTATTTATAGCAGATTTCGAAAGAAAGCTCAGGGAGCGTGGAAACGAAGGTCTGGATATAGATAGTTATGAGAGTTTGCTCCTGTCGTTGTATGCTTACGATGCGACTGTATTGGCGAGTACTCCAGCTAGGATGCGTAAAATGCTGCGATCTGTTGAAGATTACTGTACAACGAATGGTTTGCAAATAAATATAACCAAAACAGAAATAGTGCATTTTAGAAGAGCGGGTAAAGCAACGACCAAAAAATTCTACATCTATGGTAATTTACTTAAAATTGTGAATTCGTATAATTATTTGGGCGTTGAATTCTCTAGCTCAACTATGGGCAAAATGCGATAGGGAAAGCGAATCAAGCGTTCGGCGCTGTGAGACAAATAGTATACAACGGAAAATTAGATTCTTGGAAAGCTCAATGTAAACTTTATGATAGTATCGATTCCACAACTCTTTTATATGCAGCTCATATTTTTGGTTTACGTTATGTGTCGAAAATGCAATCGATCCATACATCTCACTACAAGCAATTACTCTCACTTTCTAAGAATACCTTTAATGCGGCCTTGCGTCTTAAGCTCGGCCTTATCAGCTTGGAATTAAGAATATTTAAGGCGGCATATATATTTGTAATAAAAGTATTGTCAATGAACGATTTGCGATTTCCAAAGCTTTGCCTTAGAAGACAGGTTGAACTGATGCAATGTTCAGAGGCAATCCCCGAATATAACTGGGCGGTTCAAATGAATAAATTTCTGGATAGGATTGGTTTAACTTGTTTGTGGACAACGCTTACTCCTAAAGCATGGTCTGATAAATTAGAGCTCGCGCTTGAAGGGTACTTTGTACAGATGGGATCCAAATGCAACGTGTTCACTTTGTAATCTGAATGAAAGTGAAACTCTGTATCAGTTTCTATTTGTTTGCCCAGTATATGAGGGGTATAGAAGCTTTTACTTCTCAAGATTAAATTTGGAGGACGATCCCTACGAAGCATTGGCCCATCTGTGTAACGTACCCGATGATAATAGTATTAAGAATATTTGTTTTTACATAATAAATTCATTACTGTTAAGAGCATTTATTGTTAACGAATAAGGTTTTTTTTTTAAATGTAAAGTTAAGCGGAACTCTTCTGCCACCAAAAATGTATTTTTTATATGCAGAATAAACATGAATTGAAATTGAATTGAACTATTTAATAATATTATTTACCATTTTGTTGTTAAATTATTTATAATTATTAATTTACGACTAATTTAATAACAATACGGATTTATTGTGGCAATATTCTCAGCCAGCACTGGTCCAGTGCTGCGCCAGCGGTGTCTGGCAGAACTGGCAGGCAGTACTTCGCCAGCATTAGACAGCGTTATGCCAGGGCTGTCTGTCAGAGTAGCTGCCAGTACTGACAGTGCTGGCGCAGTACTCCACCAGTTGTAAATTTCCCCTTGGGGAGTTTCAATTTTTTTCAAGAAGTTGAAATTGTAACTTTGGACTTTTCACGTAAAATGCCTCATATATTATTATTTCTATGGCGAGAAATAAATAAAAATTGGCAGCTGTTTTTTCATTTGTGAAGTAATTGTAGGTAAAGAAGAAATAATATTATAGAACGGATTCATAAAACACTTTTTTTTAATATAATTTATTTTTAAAAATGTTTGCATATTTTTCAGATAAACTATTTACCAAAAATGACTGCTTCATATTTGTTAGCAATTATGTGAGTGTAAAATAAAAGAAGTAAAGGTAATTTAATTTATGAATACTTTTCTTCATTATAAATCTAATGAATTGACATATTATACAGCTTGGCTAATATTTCTCTTATAAGATATCTACATATTTCTTAAAATGTAAAGTATTTTTGTCTGCAAGTCAATTTATTAAAAAACTGTTTACACTTAATTTAAAAATTCTATAAATGACTTTCTTCTTTTCTTCATATTTTAAATGTCAGTAATGATTAATGTTTGCAATAATACTATATAGTTATTAGCTCTTTAACCCGGCGAGTATGTGGCGGGAAACTGTTACACCGACTATGTGGTGGGCATGACATGCCCAAAATGTAAAATTGCTTATAAATGTTACATATAGCTATATTAAGTTAATTTCTGGTATTATATTATAAAAAGGCATGTAATAAAATATATTTCCTTAATTATTTATTTATTTATAAAGATAAAATCAACTCTTTGTCATAAGATTTATCATATGATTAAATAAAACAATGAAAACTTAAAACTTTTATAAAATCAAATTTGCACTTTTATAAAGGCAGGACTTTAAATATTAGTGAATGAGGAGCATAATACTGCTTTTTAGAATATATCTCAATTCAGTTGTCATTAATTTAGTAGAAATTAGGAAAAAAAATTCGCCAAAAATATGCAAAATTGACGTTTACGTCCAAGTAATTTAAAATATAATTTACATAACACTATCACCATACCATCATCTTCTCTTATGAACCCATAACTTCAGCTACTCGAAGTTTCAAAACGTTACAGTGGAAATTTTAGGATTTAAAAGGATTTAAGTAAATGTGGGGCATGACATGCCCAACCACATACTCGCCGGGTTAAAATATACATACATTCAATGTTGTCTCTACATTTATAAATTAAGAGTAAACTACTGGGTATTAAAAAGCATCGCACCTTAAATTTACACCAAAAAAGATTAAAATAAGAAACTTTTAGTTAAATTTTTCTATGACAAAAATATGTATAAATCAAAACCAAATCAATTAGTAAACCATTTTGAAAAAATAATCCTTCTTTAGATTATTTTAATTCTTGATGGATTAAAACGTTTCATATTATTTTAATCCTTTGGTGTTAAAATAAAACCCCACACCCGTGTGGAAATCTTCCCAAGTTTTTCCAACTTTTAGTTGGGCGCCAATTGGGGCCCAGGTGGGCGTCCCATTTTAAAATAATGAAACAAATTAGAAAATAAGAAATATGTTATTTTCAAGTATATAATTAAATAGAGAAAAAAAATTACATTTTTAAACTATTCTTACTGTTTAATTTTATAATCTATTCGAATTGAAGGCAAAACAGTATACGTGTATTGTAATTGGATTTATGTAGGGACTGTCCATATTTGGGACGAACTTGGGAATATCAGCCAAAGCCCATCTTTTCCGCAAATGAACTTAAAATGGTTGAATACGTCAGCTATACTCTTATATGAAAATAAATAAATAATTACTGAATTAATTACTGAGGACGAATTATTGGATTAATTACTGGATTTATTATTAGATATGATACTGGATTAATTACTGAAAATCTTGTAGTTATTTAGCGTTAAGCACTAATGCGCCTGCGTCGATCTACCCAGCTGTTGACTGTCATGGCGTAGTAGGGTAGCGTCCTTAGATCAAACAGCGTGGGTTTGTGGTGTGTTGTCCTGTTTTTATAATTTTAAATGTTTATTGTAGTTTAATTTCCATATTTTTGTAAATTACTGTAAACAATGGTTAGTTGGTTTTGTTTTTCTGTGACTTATATGTGCTCCCTGTCGGATTTCAGAACCAAAAGTGGAATTTTGGAACGATCATGGTTTTTTGACCAGAGACTTGTTAGTCAATATTGTGACAGTTATATTGAGTCTTAGAGATTTCATGCAAGATTCTCATTTGCTTCCAAAATGAACAATTAATATTAAATATTTTACTATTACTATTGTATAAATAAAAAATAATATATTGAATTTATTGATCCTGGCATTAATCCTTTTCAATTTTTATTTTTTCGTCCTTAACGTGAAAAAACTACTGGATTCACAATAATTCATCCAATAATTAATTCAGTAATGAATCTAGTAAGTTTTGTTATTATTATTTTATTTACAATTTTTTTTAATTTAATAAAGAAAATTATGCAAGAGCATGTATTTTTATATCTTAGAAATATAATTTACTTTGTAGAATTATAGGATAAAAATGACAGTGACTGTGATAAAAGTGAGTAAAAAAATTAAAATTATCAATAAATTGAATATTTATTGGAAATTTTAATGGGAATCCACAAGATTACCCAAATTGGGTCCAACTAGATTTCCCAAATTGGGAATAAGTTGGTAAAATAGTTTCAAGCCAAGTCATAACCCAATTTGGGATAAGATGGGCTTCCCAATAGGGCCCCACCTTGAACATGGGAAAACCCAATCGGCGTCAGTTTGGGCCCAGTCGCCTTTACCACACGGGCAGTTTCCTCTGTTATAATTGAATCACATTTTAACGTTAAACCTTCTTATGAAAGACAGGGACATCCTTCCAATACATATTAGGCATAGTTTTATCATTTTAATCCTTTGGTGTTAAAATAAAACCCCACAGTTTCCTCTGTTTTAATTGAATCACATTTTAACGTTAAACCTTCTTATGAAAGACAGGGACATCCTTCCAATACATATTGGGTATAGTTTTATCATAATAATACATTGGTCTGTCCAATGGGAATCCCATGGGTTTAAATTCAAAATGTTTTTTTCCATATACGGGAATGTCTACATCCGCCGAAATGTATTCGTTGTAGGGGCTAATATAGATGAAGAGTTTGAAAAGCATTCCTTCTGGTTTTCCTTTAGGTAGCATCATTCGATCAGGAAAGCCATACATTTGAGAAGAATATTTGTATCCCTCTTCTGTGTGAATAGTATGTTTAACCATTTCGAGAAATTTGCTAGTTGACATTTCATCAGGAGTTACATAGAACGACTCGTGACTGCTTCGTAATATTTCATTTGTTCCTAATTTCACTGTAATTAATATTTCAATATTAATGACAAAAGTAAATTTAATTTTGGTTTGGTAAGAAATTGATGAATGTAGCTAATATTTTGTTAAAAATTCTAATAAATTTCTGAAAAGATTGCATGACTTACAATCAACAACCCATTTGTCCATTTCAAAGAAGTTCATCCAATTGTCAATCATATCAATTTCATGTCCATAAACATCGTACTTTGGCCCAAGGAAAATACGTATCCAACCCTTTGTGTTTTTCTCACTATCTATTGTGATATTATAAGTATATGGTTTATGATTAAGTCGCTGTTGGCGTGCTTCAATCAAAAGTGTTTTTGCTTCCTTTTCATCACGAACTGCGACACCGTTGCTGATAATTGACTCTACAGTATCAAAATAGGTCACTAATTTATCAACAGAAACTGATTCAATTTTTACACCAGGAAACTCTAATTCTTCTTGAGTGTACAGTGGAAGATTGGATTTATATCTGAAAAAATTATTACATTTTTTAATGTATTCTTATTATATGGTATTAGGAAAGAATGTAAGTAATGAAAGAAAATTTTTTCTTATTTCAGAAATTAACTTATTTACTTACTTTAAAAATAAGTCAACGATCTTTTTATACATCCGATAAAAACCAGGATCTCTCATGTTAGCGACGCTCATATCAAGAATGCTGGGCACTGCCTGATGTTTTGATGACGGGTCTTGTCCGTATCCAAGAATATTCCTTGAAAGTCTATCCAGTGAATCATAGAACCTCAAAAAGGGAGAATCTACATTTCCTTGAATCATGTTTCCCAAGTAATTCATGTCTTGCATATAATTTCTGTATAACTCGTGATAATTACTTTTGTTTTTTGTCATTATTTTTCCGCTGTCGATAGCTATGCTTATTCGGGATTCTATATTGTTGATTCTCTAAATTTGGGAAAATATGTTCTTCATTATTAGAAATTGTTTAGCAATTAATAATTGCTAAGATATGTAGCGAATAATTTAGACAAATACATTGCAATTATTTATTTGCTAAGCAAACAGTAATATTTCCTGTTGCGAAATGTTGATATTTAATACTAACCTCGACATTCTTGTACTTATTAAGTGGAACATGAGACCAAGAGGGTCTTCGTGGAAATGGAAGTCCTGTAGGATGTACCATACTTGGATAGTAACCGGTAACAATTGGCTTGTCCCAGTCTATGTATTCAACTTGGCCCAAATCATGAGACAATCGTTCCATATAATATCGTGCTAAAATTTGCTTGTGCAAGAAATAATAAGATTCTCCACGGACATCCTTCATCAATTTGTATTTTTCACTCTCCATCCAACCAGGAAATATAGCAGTAATATAGGCGTAAAAAGTGTTCATTCCGATGTCTTCCGTAAAATGATTAAGTTTCCATTCCATATCATGTTCCTGGTTTATGAACCATCCAGCGTAGTTTGCATTTATCAAATGGGATTTTTCTTTTTTATTTTCTAAGTCAAATAGATATATTAACATACATAAAAGTCATACAACAAAATAAGTTAACATTATAGAATTTCATGTACTATCCTAGTGGTAAAAAAATACATATGCGTTCGAGGAACGTTCCAAAAATATTAATTTGGCAGACATGAAAAGTTTTAGAAATATTTCTCGAACGTAAATAGTTTTTTGCCATCTAGGATAGAAGCTTTATATACCCCTCTCATAGGAAGCTTGTCTCAATATTGCATGGTGCACGGAGAAAAATGGATTATTCATTAAATAATCTAGATTATACTTATTATATTTTTACATTGTATATAGGACAGTTGACTTAGAATTATAAAATTGCAAATCCAAGTATTATAACTTTAAAATTATTAATCATATTAATTTTAATTATAACACTTACATCAATATAATTGGTCTTCTTTAGGTTATTTTAAATAAATAAAATTTTGATAAATTACATAGTATTAACGCATAAATGTAAAAAATTATTATTATTTCTAGACAATACGAAAAAAAATTTATACTGTAGTAATAATCACGAATTATTTAATTTGAGATTATTATTATACCCAAAATCATCCTAAATATTGACAGGTATTCACCTGTCAATATTAATTCAATATAATTTACCAATAGATCGATTGTAAAGGGTACTATCAGTTTATATTCAGTATGATCTTAGGTTCTATAATCCTAATTGTATAATCTATTTTTCCCCGTGAAAGCTTGCGGCATGCTTGCCACGTAAGTTTGCAGAAATATTTTGTTAAGATTGACTCAATCTTTGCTGCAAGGTTGTTGCAACACTGAGAGAAATTTTACCAGGTTAATATAACCAGAAAAAAGTGGTTGAAAGAAATTTAGTTACTAAGCAAACAAAAATCTGTATCTGCACCACTATTTCACTAGTTACTGTAACCAGGAATTTAGTCTGTTGTATTACTGAGTACAATCGGTCTATCGACAGTCGAGTTCTAATGGTGTGCACCGGACAATAATCGACGGTGCACATCATTATACCTCGACGTCAAACCTCCCGCTCAGATTATCTCACGTGCCAGAAAAATACCAAGCCAAATAGGCACGATCCAAGGGTACTTACCCTTGGTCCTTAAACGTCCTCCAAGCGAGTCATGTATCCGACTGAGCTAATCTGTCGGTCCAAGAACCTTATATATAATGAAAGCATATTTTTTTGTAAACATTTTTTTCGGACCGTTTTTGGACCACAAACGATTTTTAACTGGACTGCGAAGGGGTTAACGTGGTGAAAATTGCCTTTAACAACAAATGTATATATTATAGAGTAACTTGAACGAAATTACCAGAACATAAAATTTCCTGGTTACAGTAACCAGAAAGTTTGATTTATATTAACTAGAAAATGGAAAATGTCAGGCATTTGGAACCTTTAAATCTGGTTAGGATAACTATGTTAAACATTACATTAACATTTGGAGTAAGTTTTATATACATATCAGGCAGTTTTGAATTGTCAGTGACAGTCTTTATTGGCTCTTGGCAAAGTGTAACATGTGATTTCGCAAATTTTCTTAAAGTTATAATATTTGTGCACAGTAATTGTGCACCATTCTGGTGACAATCGGGTCTAGTTGGACATGTGTTTTATGAGTACTCTCTTATTACAATTGGTCCAGTGTTGCTTCCCTTAGAAAAGTGCATAATTAACCACCTAAATAAATCAACATATTTTTGGCTCGCCATTATAGGCAATTTCTATTACGGTGATTCACGTTTTATCTGTTCCTGACAACAAGAATTCCAGAATTAGTGAATTCATCTTGTGTGCGGATATAGAAAGTGATGTAATGGCTTAATAACTGTGTTTTGTGCACCTAACAATCTACAATTTTTATAATTTAACCTAATTTATGTACTGTTGTACTTGATTGTACCTAGATAAAATGTACGATTCAAAACAGCTGAACTTGGACTCTAATAGACTTTCCGTGGTTAAATCCATAGATGCCACCTCAAGCGATTCAACGAAGTGTACGCTTTGTAAACTTAAAGTGGTTACCGCTAAACTCTGTCCAGTTTGTTCCTCCCCCTACCACCCAGCCTGTGCGGATTCAAGAAGTACTGTGGCCACACATCGCACTGTCCGTCTCCGATTGGCGACATGTCAACACTTCGCACCTTTATGCGTAAGGAGCTAAATTTTTTCAAAAATGGAATAACTGACTGAATATTCCTTAATAGAAAAACAGCTAATTTTTCTTGCTGGGTTTAGATGGTGACGGTCGCGATTGGTTAAAATTTCATGATGAAGGTCACTATTGGTTGAAAATATGATGGCGACGGTCGCGATTGGTTGAAATACGATGATGACGGTCGCTATTGGCTGAGAAACGATGATGACGTTCGCTATTGGTCAGAAATCGTAGCGGTGACACTTGCTATTGGTTTATTTTCTTTGTTCACAAGAGCTTCAACAGTGGTTACAGTTTACAGTAGTTACAGTTTATTAACAGATTTTTACAGTATAATACACTGATCTCTATATACCTCTGGATTGGAAATGCTGTGAGCAGAACTTTAACCACGGCGGCCATCTTTCATTGTAGTAAAACTACAAAATTATGGCGCGAAAGCCTTGAATTTGAAGTAATAATTATCATAATAATAATTATCAATTTTAACGTTTTATATTCTATAGATGAGTTGTTGATTCATACGTTTACCTACAATAAAAAAGAAATTTACTTTGTAATATGAAACAAGGTTTTCGCGCTATAATTTTGTACTTTTACTATAATGAAAGATGGCCGCCGTGGTAAAAGTTTTGCTCACAGCATTTCAAATCCAGAGGTACACTACCGTCGGGAATTATCAGTACGGCTGCACACGCACGGCCCAAAAACATACCAATCTTTAAATCACGATTTTTTTGTAAATACAAATGTCAGAAAATTAACAAATATACCATTCGAAAGATTATTAAATACTACGATTAATGGCACATAACTGAAAATTTTAATAATTTATACAAAGATTGCAGCAATCGACAAATTTTACAAAAAAAATTTAAAAATACAATTTTTTTAGAAATTTTTTTAACCCCTGCACATTTTTTAGAAACTGTAGAAAAAATTTGAAACTTACATAAGTGTGATCATTCAAGTCTTATCTTTAATTTAAGACCAAAAGAATTTAAAAATCTTATTCGGTTCGTGAGATATCATTATAAACGTCCAAGCATGTTTTTTGACAAATGCATTGAATTAGTCGATTTTGAACGGTTTTTGGCTGAAAATGCTCGTCCGTTTATAATGATATCTCGCTAACCGATTAAGATTTTTGAATTTCTTTGGTCCTAAATTAAAGATGAGACTTAAATGATCACACTTATATAAGTTTCAAATTTTTTCTGCAATTTTTAAAAAATGTGCAGGGGTTGAAAAAATTTCTAAAAAAATTGTATTTGAAAAATTTTTTTGTCAAATTTGTCAATTGCTGAAATCTTTGTATAAATTATTAAAATTTTCAGTTATGTAGGGGAAGTGCGCCGGTTGTGGGCACCCTCCGGTTGTGGGCACCCCTACGTAAACTTCGACGGCAAGCAGACTTTACTGATCTAAGTATTGCAAGTCGTGTTCGTTGACAATACGGACTTTTCGTATTGATAACGAAACAAATATATGCATTTGTGTAATAGCTGTGAGCATAATAAAGAAAATTTGCATTAAATAAATAAAAAAGTAATTTTGTATTGTTTTCGAAGAGCAACATATGGGTGTAGATTTGTTCAGAAAAGAAGGGTTTAATTTTTTTTGCAGTGTTGTCATTATATTTTGTGATTTACCTTCGTGTTTAACCAAAATCCTGCATCACAAAATGTGTTGGTCTTTTTAAAAAATGACTGTCATTCCCGGTTGTGGGCACCTTTATGTTAAGGAAGCTCTACCATCTGACAATGATGAGGACTACTGTCTCATCTATCTAAACTTTCTGCCAAGGAAAGTGACAGCCGCAAACTCCATTAAATGCGATGAATATAGTCGTTCAGTGCATTAGAAGTGCGTTATGGTATGCGTACTAGCTACTTCACATGAAGCATTATGCTTTTGTTAGCGATGAGCATAGTGTGAAAACGTGTCATCATTTTTGTTCTTTATCCCGGCAAATTCTCTTAAAATAAAGAAACTTTCATTTCTTCTTTATTTGTGTTGGTTTCCTTTAATATTTTTCCATTTTTAGCGGATTTTTCAAGGGTGCCCACAACCGGGAACAAAATTTTTTTTGTCAAAAAATTCCCATTTCACTAAATTTCTAATAAAACTTTTTTATTTAAAGGAGTCAATTTAATTCCTTCACTGACAGTCACCTTAGACCTCTAGCTTTAAATTCGTACACATATATTTGTATAATATGCACATGGACAAATGTTATGAGGCAAAATCAAAAGGGTGCCCACAACCGGAACACTTCTTTTACCATTAATCGTAGAATTTAATAATCTTTCGAATGGTATATTTGTTAATTTTCTGACATTTGTCTTTACAAAAAAATCGTGATTTAAAGATTGGTATGTTTTTGGGCCGTGCGCGTGCAGCCGTACACTGCAAAAACTGGTATCTCTCGTGTCTTAAAATGAGTTGCTTTAAGTGTTTAAACCATTGAGATACAAAATCTTTTTTATATTGAGACATTTAATTTCATCTCGTGTCTCATTTTAAGACATTAAAGGTAACTCAATGCGTATAAGACACGAAAAAAGTCTTCTTAGTGTGAGACGGATACTCGAAACACATTTCGTGTCTCAAAATGCATTGCTAAATGTGTAAGACACTTTGAAACGTCTTAAAATGAGACACATATCTGTTTCAAATATGTGGACTAAGACATCTTATGTGTTTCAAATATGGGACAAAACGTCTCAAAATGAGACACTTGTTTTTGCAGTGTACCGATAATTCCCGACGGTAGTGTATATAGAGATCAGTGGTATAATACAGAAAAATTAAAGTGAAAA